GCAGGTGTTAATGAGTCTTCTTCTAATCCTGATGCCACGTTCTTCTTCATATAGTCCAACTTCTCGGATTATTTGCTCAGCATACAGATTAAATAAGTATAGTGAAAGGATACAACCCTGACACACACCTTTCCTGATCTCAAACCACACAGTATCCCCTTGTTCTGTTCAAACGACTGCCTCTTCATCTACATACAGGTTCCACATGAACACAATTAAGTGTTCTGGAATTCCCATTCTTCGCAATGTTATTCATAATTGGTTATGATCCACACAGTCAAATGCCTCTGCAAAGTCAATGAAACAAAGGTAAACATCTTTCTGGTATTCTCTGCTTTCAGCCAAAATCTATCTGACATCAGCAATGATATCCCTCATTACACGTCCCCGTCTGAACCCAGCTTGAATTTCTGGCTGTTCCCTGTCAATGTACTGCTGCAACTGTTTCTGAATTATCTTCAGCATAATTTTACTTGCATGTGATATTAATGATATTGTTCGATAATTTCTGCATTCTGTTGGATTATCTTTCTTTGGAATTGGCACAAATACGGATTTCTCCCTGTTGGTTGGCCAGGTAGCTGTCTTCCAAATTTCTTGGCATAGACAAGTGAGCACTTCCAACATTGCATCTGTTTGTTGAAATATCTCAGTTGGAACTCTGTCAGTTCCTAGAGCCTTGTTTTTCACCAATGCCTTCAGTGCAGCTTGGACTTCTTCCTTCAGTACCGCTGGTTCTTGACCATATGCTACGTCCTGAAATGGTTGAACGTCAACCAATTCTTTTTGGTATAGTTACAGTATATTCCTTCCATCTTCTTTTATGCTTCCTGCATCATTCAATTTTTCAGCTGCTAACTGAAAGGTCGGTGGTTTGAACCCCCTGGCCGCTGTATGGGAGAAAGGTGTGGCAGTCTTGGAAACCCTATGGGGCAGTTCTACCACATCCTATAGGGTTGCTATAAGTAGGAATTAACTCGACTGTAATAGTTTTAATGTATCAATGGAGTCCCTGAGTGGTACAAACAGTTAACACACTCAGCTACTAACTAAAAGGTGGAGGGCCACCCAGATGCACCTCGGAAGAAAGGCCTGGTGATCAACTTCCAAAAAATCAGTCATTGAAAACCCTATGAAGTACAGTTCTACTCTTGACAGATGGGGTCACCATGAGTCAGAATCAACTCAATGGCAACTGGTTAGTATAACAATGCATCTAATGTATATGTTTCTAGAACAAATTACAACTCCACAAGCTGATATGTTTTCAGTCACCCGAAACTTGGTGATAATATCTGACATTTGTATATCATTTTATAATCAGCATAGATTCACACATGATAAGCATTTCTGCACATTTCCCTTTAGTCTTTCCTAAGTTTAAATTCTAGGTTTTAAATAAATATTTCAAAGGAGCCCTCTTTTAACTTAATAATACCTATGCTATAGCCTCTAAAGTCCCCCTTCTTCCTTTAGGATCCCAAATCTTCACAGAACTTTTGGCTAGTTAGAACACAAGATATCAGAAGAAACGTCATAATGGGTTACACTAATATCTCTTCAAGTAATGTTCGGCAACTTCACAACACCACTCATGAAATTTTTAAGAGTAAGGAAAAAGAATTACCACAAATTTGTATATATTGTCTGAAAATTTTTTAAATAAGACTATCTCATTGGAATATTTACTATTTTGTTAATTTGAAATAATATAATTTAAAACTCCTAACAGAGTATCTAAGCAAACCAAACCCACTGCCATCAATTCCAACTCATGGCGACCCTGTAGGACAGAGTACAACTGCCCCATAGGGTCTCCAAGGCTGTAAATCTTTATGGGAGCAGATTGCCACATCTTTCTCCTGGGGAATGGTTGGTGGGTTTGAACTGCTGACCTTTCAGTTAGCAGCTGAGTGCTTTAACCACTGTGCCACCAGGGCTCTTTACACTGCATCTAATACAGGCAAAATTAAAGCTGGAAAGGACCCTGAAGACCACCTAACCTCTTTCTTATTATAGATGAAAGAACTGGGGCCAGGAGTTCTAGTCCAAGATCACTCAGCAAATGAGTTGCAAAGCCCAGATAGGAACTGAGGTCTTCTGAGTTCAGCAAGCTTAACACTACATCAGCGGTTCTCAAAGAGTGGTCCAGAATCCCTTAGAAGCTCCTAAGACCCTTGTAGGAGACCCTTGAGGTCAAAATGTTTTACTAATAATACTAAGATGTTGGTTGTGTTTTTCACTACTATTCTCTAACGAGTATACAATGGAGTTTTACAGACACTGTATCACATGCAATGGCATTATTGCTCTGAAGACTAATGGAACGTGTGCTTACCTACTTACACTTTTTAGAATTTTCTAAGGTAGTGAATTTAGGGCAGTAGTTCTCAGTGTGGTCCACAGGACCCTGAAGTTTCCCAAAAAAACCTTTCAGGGTCTGTAACATCAAAACTATTCTCATAATAATACTAAAATGTTCTTTGCCTTTTTCACTGTGCTGGTATATGCTCTAATAGTGCAAAAGCAACAGAGAGGAGACAGGATAAAACTGTAGTATCTTGGCACTCATCAAGGCAGGGGCACCAAACTGTACTAGCAGTCATTGTATGCTGCACGGCCACACATTTGCAGTAAATAACAAAATGTCACTTTCACTAATGTCCATGAAGTAATAAAAAAAATATTAATTTTAATAATCTTAGCCCTTGAGTATGCATCTTTTTAATACTCCGTGTAAACAAAACATGAGGTACACATCAAGTATTTCTGCTACATACTGAAGTATGATGGTTGTCTTGAAGAAAAGCATTCCTGAGGATGTTTGAGTTTTGAGCTAAACTAGCCTGCTGCTTTTTTCACAGAACCTCATTGTTACTGGAAAGGATGATTGACAAACAGATTATTCAGACCTAGGTATATGACAAGACATTTTCTTAAAAATAAGTGAAAGCCTGTCACATCAAGGAAAATAGCCGATAGTATATTTCTTTCCAATGATAAAATACAAAATTTCATTCAAAAATTAATAATTTTTAAAAACTTGTATTCACCAAGAATTTGACAGCTTCCTAATATCTAAAGACCTTTTGATTAGATCAGTATCATATTAACAAATGTGATCTTTTTTTACATACTGCATAATGAAATGTTTCAACATTTGGAATATCTGTATAATTTAATGAACCAATATTTTCCAAATGATCAATGCATGATATCATCAAATCATGCATGGAAAAAGACGCATTCAAGAAGCAATCCACATCAACGAATTTGAATGTAGCAGAGTATGAAATGTTCATTAATTTGGCTTCAGATTCCACATAGCAGCTAAACTTTTAAAAAAATACGACTTGCAGTGTTTTGGTATAGTACCAAAAAGGAATAACCACGATTATCTGGAAAAGCTACTAAAATACTTCTCCATTTTCCAACTACATATCTGTGTGAGTCCAGATTTTCATCAACTTTAGCTAAGACAACATAACACAAGACATTAAATGCAGAAGTAGGTAACTATCTTCAATTAAGTCAGACATTAAAGAGATTTGCAGAAATTCTTTAAAAAGACACTCCTCTTTTTTTGTTTTAGAAAAAATACTTTTCAGAAGATAATATGTTAACATGTAATGAGTTTATTGTTATTTTTAGATGAATTAATAAATACATTTAAATTTATAAAGGTATATAGGAATGGATATAAACAATAGGCAAAAGCTCTTTGGGGTCCTAAACAAATTTTAAGAGTGTAAAGTGTCTTGAGACCAAAACGTTTTGAGAACTGCTACACTACATCACGCTAACAAATTCAGTATCTTAGCTTTCACACGTAGAATCGGAGGAAATAAACTTTTATTTCAACTATGCACACATTTTGTAATTATTTAAAAAATGAAAAATGATCTCACATGTAATCTGAAGTAAAATATTCCTAATTTATTCCCTTTAAATTGTTTGAATAAGTAAATGTTTGCCACCAGATGGCTTCTTTAATATTATTGTTGTTGGCTGCCATGGAGTGGATTCTGACTCATGCAACCCCATGTGTGCAGAGTAGAACTGCTCCATAGAGTTTTCAATGTTGTGACCTTTCAGAAGCAAATGATCAGGACTTTTTTCCGAGGCCAAAATAAATCTATCAAGGTGCAGAAGCCTGCCTCTACCTCAATCAACTTTGCTAAACAATTTTTCTCTAGTTTCAAAGCACCTTGGAAATGTCACTGCTTTAGAGTCTATAGAGACGGTTCTTCAAAGATTCCAAATAATGTAGTTCCCATTGGGAAAAAAGTCTTCCAAACTAATATGTGATTTTTTGTTTTTTTAATTTCGATTAAAACCATTAAATTCACCCCAGTCAGAAGTCCTAATCTTTCGGCTTTACCGCATACCACATTATGCCTTCTATAATTTTCTTTTATGACGAGAACTACATATTTTCAGGAAATCATCCTGCTGTCTTGTGCTGTGATTCTGGTTTACAACCACCAAACTTTCCTTAAAGCATGAAGTTTCCAGAGAAGCTCCGACGTCAACTCGTACCCTCCGCAAGGTCTCTGGCACGCCCTGAACCCTTGCCGCTAACGGATTGGCTAAGCCCAACCAAGCCAGAGAGGACGATTGGCTGGCTGACGTGGGCTGCTGGCGCCCACCAATCCAGTCTATTTCCTGTTCCCTCCCGCAGTCTCCTCCCCAGTTAAGGAACCTCACCTCAGCAGGATAGGGAGGACATGCTGACCACCTAATTCTCCCTGCTTGGGACAGTAAGGACATCGGATTCGCAGCGCAGGGGTCTGTGGCTCAAATCTCTACACCCTACCGTTTCTCTCGATTCGAGTGGTCGGTGGAGGCAGCTGCGAGAAGAAGAGGCGGTGCACAAGGGGAGTTGTATGTGGGAAGTCCCGCCCTCGCCAGGCGTGGCGCCATCGGGCGATCTGTGGACGTCAAGCGCGGGCCGGCGCGCGATTGGCCGCAGCTAGGATGTGGTGCGGTTGGTTTGCGGTGGCGCTGGCTCGGGCTGGTGGGCGCTGGGTAGGCGGCTCCGCTTGGGGGCGGGGCCTACGCACAGCTGCCGGAGCCCAAAAGAGACGTGCCGTACGGCCCCCTTTGGCTGGCGTTTTTGTTGCCGGGTTCAGTGACCGGCCGGTCGACTGCGGCAGGAGCTCGGGGTAAGGTAGAGGGCCGTGGGGTCCGAGTGCTGGCTCTGCTCTCCTGGGAGAAGTGGGGCGGCCGGGGCGCTTCGGGGCGGGACTTCGCAGGGGTCGCTTCCCCGAGGGCTGCGTCCTCGCGTTCGTCGGGAAGCGGTGTCGTTACACGAAGCACTGGAGGCTGGAGCGCGCGGGCTGAGCGCAGATGCTGCGGAGGGCGAAATGTCGGAGTGTCTGCATCTTTGCGGCTTAGATGATTGGATGAGCCCCATGGATGGAAGCGCATGCGTTTTCTTTTTAAAAAATACATGAAAACATGTGCCCGGGATCAACAATTGTTAAATCCTTCCTACTTTTTTTGAAAAATCCTAGAACTTCGTTACATTTCAGGAAATCTAAAATTGTTGTGTGTATAATCCTACCTCCGTTCTGCGTTTATTTTAAATACTGGTTGTATACAATTATTAATATATATATATATATATATATAAGGCGCAAGAGGAAGTTAGGGGCGCTAGAACCAAGGAGAGTTAAGCTAGATATTAATTTGGAAAGCAAGTTTTGCAGTGGTGAAGGCGTTCCCAGGTGAGTGGTGTGTGCTATTGATTCTGAATGTAGACGCTGGAAAGCAGGGTGTATGGCTGAATTGGAGCCGGTGAGCTAGGAAAAGTCGGGTAAGGAGAGAACGGTTGGTAGAACTTGAAATACATGATTAGAAAGTATTTCATTTGGTGGTTAGAGTTCACTGAGGTTTTCTGATCAGAAAGGTATTTGGTAATTGATAATATTCGGGAAGTTTGACTTTCAGGAAGGGAATAACCAAAAGACCTGTTGCCGTCGAGCCAATTCCTACTTATAGCGACACCATAGGACAGGGTAGAACTGCCCCATAGGCTTTCCAACGAGCAGCTGGTGGATTCGAACTGCCAAGCTCTTGGTTAGCAGCCCAGCTCTTAACAATCGCTCCACCTGGGAAGCAGTTCACTTGCTTCCTCTGATGAAATAGGTGAGTCACCTTCCCAACTTGTCTTTCTGCTAGCTTGAGATGACTGGCAGATTTTGTGGCTTGTGTATGGTTCACACGCGTTTTAAAAACTTTTTTTTTTGCTTTTTCTTCGTGTATGAATCTGCAGATACATTATTAAAGCAGTCCTTTTTAGCATAGGGCATTTTAAATCTCATCATTCACTATTAAGCAGTGAAAAAGGAAGACCATTTACGTATATAGTAACTTTAGTAAAAGGCAAATCCCACAAGACTCCGTAGAGTATGATTCTATTTTATAAAGTTCCAAAAACAAGCTACGACAGTATATTGTTTAGGCATATGTGTATATGTGGTAAAACCTCTCTCCCTGTCTTCCTTTCTCTGTTTATATACACACACATATACGTGGTACATAAATGCAAGGGAATGATAAAAACAGATTTCAGGAGACTGATATTTCTAGTAGTGAAGCAGGAGAAGAGATGAAGAGCATCACATAAATAGACGTAGCTTAATCTATTTTTTGGTTTTGGTAATGTGTTCCTAGATCTACGTATTATTTTTAAGTGAATAAATATTTGTGATTACGTAAAGTTCCATCTTAAGATTTAAGTTCCAAAAATCTTGAAAGAGCAGTGTGACTTAAAAGATTGTCATTTTGAAAAGCCTCACCATTCTGTAGTTATAAAAGTTACCTTAGTAATGATTTTAATATGTATTAAATTTGCCTATGAAAGTTGTAAATACATCTTTTTTAAAAAGTGGCTAACTTTGAAGTAGGCTTTTAAAGTTTCCTTTCCAGAGTATTTTTCTTCTTGATCTCTGGTTTTAATCACTAAGCATATTTTCAGTTTTTTGTGTTAAATATTTTCATTTTAACTCTCACATCATCAGCAACCCTTAACAATCCTCCTACACTTAGCCCACCCCCACCCTGTTTAAGGGGAGAACTTTTTGTCAAGTAGCCATTTTTGTACTTACACATTTTGTATGCATTCTGTAGTGTGCTTGAACTCTGTTGAAAGTATTTCAGAAATCTAACTATTTGAAATAAAGTCACATACAAAGCAGAGTGCAGAGACTTCAGAATACATAGTGTGGAAAAATTCAAGGAACACTTTCTGAGGACCTACTATGTCTAAGGTGCTCTGAAGGATACAAAGGTCACTGATCTTAGGAATTACTGGATGTGCAAAAGTTATAGGGAAGGATATAGAAAGTGTTTTAATAGTATTTTAAACTTAAATCAGTATGGGGGCTTAATCAGGGGTCAGAGAGAGAATAAGCCTTAATGCACTAAGGTAGGGATGGGCAAACTGTGAAATTCAAATTTCAAAGTCCTAAGCAAAGTTTTACTGGGACACGACTAGGCTCAGTTTACACATTGTCTGGTTCAAACATTGCCTGTGGCTACTTTAGTACTACAAAGGCAGGGTTGGTACTGTCTGGCTCTTTATGGAAAAAGTTGGGGGAGGGCTGCCCTAATGCAGTCATTGAGTGTAATGAATTAAGTTTTCTCCTGTGTCTCTAGAACGGTATGTGCCCTTGGAAAAATTGAAAAAACAGTCACTCAAATTATTTTTTTCTGATTAGAAACAAGATTGAGAAAGCCTGGTTAAATCTTATTGGTGTATTGAATGTTTGGGACATGAATTGGACTTTGAGAAAAGAATTTCAACAGATTGACATAGCATTGTTGAGCAACTATACAGAGGCAAGGAATGGCAAAGAAAGTTTGGGACAGCTATAGGAATACCTACTAGATATTATAGAAGCTTTTGTGGAAAAATAGGATGAGAAGTTAGATTGGGGCTAGCTCACAGATGGGCAGTCTCCTAAATGAGGGGGAAAAATGTACAAAGGGAGAGAGATTGATTATATCAAGTGCTGCAGAGGGTTCTGTAGGACAAGAATTGGGAGGAAATATTGACTGTGGTAATTAAGAGAGCAACTATGGTGAAAGGCCAGCTGTGATTGCCTATAGGAGAAGTGATGGCCAGGCTGGGGCTGAATGGTAGGCCAGCAGTATTATTGGGGGACCCTGATGGGGACAGAGAACGGTGATACTGCAGATAGGAGGAACAGATATAATTCATACCGTTTTTTGAAGTGGCTGAATTGCTTATTGGGTTCAGAGATCTATAATTGTTTCCCCATTATGCTCATGTGGAGTCTAGGTGGTGCAAACAGTTAACTCACGTGGCTGCTAACTGAAAGGTTGGCGGTTCGAGGCCACCCAGAGGTGCCTTAGAAAAAAGTCCTGGTGATCTACTTCCAAAAAATCAGCCACTGAAAACCCTCTAGAGCACAATTGTTCTCTGGCACACATGGGGTTGCCGTGAGTTGGGGTCAGCTCGACAGCAATTGGTTAACTGGTATGTGATCTTCAAAGAAATACAATATATGGTAATGGCCTTTCTTCCTCTTTCCTCTTCTCAGTATTTTAGGACAGATCAGACACACCGTAATGATGCCTGAAATAAATACTGACGGTCTCGATGAGCAGCAGGTTCTACTTCTGGCAGAGATGTGCATTCTTATTGATGAAGATGACAACAGAATTGGGGCTGAGACGAAAAAGAATTGTCACCTGAATGAAAACATTGAGAAAGGTGCCGTTTTAAAATATTCTGCCTTGTAAAGTGATTTTCCTAGGCATTTCAGGTTAGCTGAGAAAAGTACTCTGGTAAAGATGTGGTTCTTAATCACTTCATATTTTATCTTTGGCTCCAGTTAGTTAAAGAGGTGTGTTTAGTAAAAATCTACGTTGCTACCTCCCCTATTTAACAGATATGTCTCTCCACATCATCTGTCTTTTACCCAGTTTCTTCAGGGTTGTTTTATAAAAGAAGGAATAGGCTAATCCTAACATAACAGCAGTTGTCAAGTCTTCTAATGATGGAGAGAGGCAGGAGTCATAAAGGAAAGAATGTGCCTTTGCAGAAGTAGAAGACTGACTGGACCTGTGCTGAATATCCCTGAAAGGAAGTTGGCTGGTAGCAGAGCTGGCCAACAGATTCCCGTTTCTTTTCCTCAGTGTCTGACGTCCTTGCCGGTATGCCAGAGCTCTTCTCCATCACAGCCATGCAGAGGCTTATCTAAGCTGAAGACTATGGGAAAAAGGAAAAATAAAAACAATTTACTAATATTGTTCTGAATTCCAAGTCGAAAATCAGGCAAATAATTGCTATTTTAAAACTAAAATAATGGTATTTATTTTGCTTTCAGGATTATTGCACCGAGCTTTTAGTGTTTTCTTATTCAACACAGAAAATAAGCTCCTGCTACAACAGAGATCAGATGCTAAAATTACCTTTCCAGGTTAGCGTACTTAATACGCAGTATATTGGTGGGACCTATGTTTAAAATAACTTTTTATTGTTGTTTGTGAGAAAGATGACACTGGGAATTAATCCCTGGGAATGTGGAAAAGGCTCTTAAGATTGACACTAGAGGTAAACTTTCTTAATCGTCTGAGAATCTGTTACTTGTTATTTCCTACTGAGTAGTTTTCCTTGGTCAAAATGAAGTATATTTTAGATGCCTAGGAAGAGTACATAAAATGGTTAAAACTGTTAAACCCTGAAAACTAATAAAATAGAGCTTGATAATTAGAAAACGTTTCAAGGAAAAGGAGATAAAAGTGTACTGGTAACCTGCCAGGTAATGGTGTCACTGAGCACAGAATAACTCTGAACTTCCTTGTATCCAACATCAAAAGGAAAAGCCTGTGCGTGACATAATTTCATGTTCTACATAAGAGAAGCTTATACAATGAGCACAACTTAATAAGACAGCAGTAAAGAATAAGAACTGTTAAGGGATAGGGGTGTGTATATGTGTATCTTTACATATGTATTTTTTGTATCTATATATCTTGATTTTCTTTTTGGTTAATCAGGCATTAATAAAGAACTTACTTACAGATGTCTGTTTTACAAAATGATTAGTGATATTCCATTATAACTGATTTTAAAATCCTAAAGAATCATTTTATTTTTCTATTACTTGTAAAACCATTTGTTTCTTGGTGTTTCAGACCTCCTTTGAAGAAAAGTTAATCTACACCTGTGTTAACATTTTCCAGGTTGTTTTACCAATACTTGTTGTAGTCATCCTTTAAGTAATCCAGGAGAATTTGACGAAAATGATGCAATTGGAGTAAAACGAGCAGCACAGAGGCGTTTAAAAGCTGAGTTAGGAATTCCCATGGAACAGGTAACCAGTTTTACTTTACATAAAAACCATACAAGTTGAAATCTAAGCATACATTTACAAAGTGTTCTATAAAATTTTCAAATTCAAGTGTAGCTCTCTACTTTTTAACCTTTTGAGTTATGAATTGGCCCCAGAAAACACATTGAATCTTTATTCAAGATTATTTAAATTCGATTTAGCATTACTTACCAGAATTTAGCTCAAAACTGAGATGGATTTATCTGTAAACTAGTATATAAGGTTGACTTTTTATAATTAATAAGAACAAAGGTAAATATTTTCTTGTGGAAATCCTTAGGAATACAAACTACACACCTAATTGCGTGAATTATAATGATGGTTTTTTTTCTTGGAAATGTTCCCTTTAAATAAGATCTCTGGATAAATAGTCTCATCTACTTAAAATGGTAAGTTACTTTCCAACAAAAGATGATCTTAAAGTGTAAAGGAAAAAGTAACAGTTGTATAGTCTATGAATGACTGCTTTTTTTCTGTTTTAATAATTATTGCTTTAAAAGTCAGCATATGTGGTCCAATGGGAAAAACAATTAGACTTTTGAAACTGACAAGGTAATGATATTTCCATGTATCATCAACAGGAGATTAATATTTTGAAAACTCTAACTCTGAAACTCATCTATCAGTTTGTCATGCTGTGGTGGCTTGTGTGTTGCCATGATGCTGGAAACTATGCCACTGGTATTTCAAATACTAACAGAGTCACCCATGGTGGACAGGTTTCAGCAGAGCTTCCAGACTAAGACAGATTAGGAAGAAAGACTTGGCAGTCGACTTCTGAAAAAATTGGCCAGTGAAAACCTTAGGAATAGCAGCAGAACATTGTCTGATATAATGCCAGAAGATGAGCCCCTCAGGTTGGAAGGTATGCAGCCTGCCTCCTGAAAGTAGAGTTGACCATAATGACATGGATGGAGTAAAGCTTTTGGGTCTTTCATTTGCTTATCTGGCACAACTGAAAATGAGAAGAAACAGCTGCAAACATCCATTAATAATCAGAACATGAAGTGTGTGAAGTATGAATCTAGGAAAGTTTGGGAATCATCAAAAATGAAATGAAGCCCATAAAGATCGATATCCTAGGCATTAGTGAGCTGAAATGGACTGGTATTGGCCATTTTGAATCAGACAGTCATATGGTCTACTATGCCAGGAATGACAAATTGAAGAGGAATGGCATCGCATTTATCGTCAAAAAAAACTTTACAAGATCTATCCTGAAGTACAACACTATCAGTGATAAAATATCCATAAGCCTACAAGAAAGACCAGTTAATATGCTATTATTCAAATTTGTTCACCAGCCACTAATGCCAAAGCTGAAAAAATTGAACATTTTTATCAACTTCACTCTGCAGTCTATAACTGATCATACATGCACTCAAGATGTGTTGATAATTAGTGGTGATTGGAAGGCAAAAGTTGGAAATAAGATCAGTAAAAGTAGGTAGATAATATGGCCTTGCTGATAGAAATGATGCCGGAGATTGAAGGATAGAATTTTGCAAGACCAGTGACCTATTTGTTACAAATACCTTTTTCAACAACATAAACAGCAACTAAACATGTAGACCTTACAAGATGGAATACACAGGAATCAAACTGACTAAATCTGTGGAAAGAGACGATGGGGAAGCTCAATATCATCAGTCACAGAAAGGCCAGGGGATTGCTGCAGAACGGACCATCAATTGCTCATATGCAAGGTCAAATTGAAGCTGAAGAAAATCAGAGCAAGTCCACAAGAGCCAAAATACAGCCTAGAATATATCCCACCTGAATTTAGAGACCATCTCAAGAACAAATTTGACACAATGAACACTAATCACCAAAGACTAGACGAGTTGTGGACAGACATCATACATGAAGAAAGCAAAAGATCATTAAAAAGACAAGAAAGAAAGAAAAAACTAAAATGGATGTCAGAAGAGAATCTGAAACTTGCTCTTGAATATAAAGTAGCTAAAGCGAACAGAGGAAATGATGGCGTAAAAGAGCTGAACAGAGGGTTTCAAATGATGGCCTGAGAAGATGAAGTATAGTATTATAATAAAATGTGCAAAGACCTGGAGTTAGAAAACTAAAAGGGAAGAGCATGCTCAGCATTTCTCAAGCTGAAAGAACTGAAGAAAAATTCAAGCCTCGAATTGCAATGGTAAATTCTGTGGGGAAAATATTGAATGACACAGAAGGCATCCAGAGAAGATAGAAGGAATACACGGAGTCACTGTACCAAAAAAGAACTGGTAGACAAACCGTTTCAGGAGGTAGCATAAGATCAAGAACTGATGGTATTGAAGGAAAAAGTCCAAGCTGCACTGAAGGCATTGGTAAAAAACAAGGCTCCAGGAATTAAAAGAATAGCAGTTGAAATGTTTCAATAAACAGTTGTAACGATGGAGGTGCTCACTTGTCTGTGCCAAGGAATTTGGAAGACAGCTACCTGGCCAACCAGCTGGAAGAGGTCCATATTTGTGCCAATTCTAAAGAAAGGTGATCCAACAGAATGCTGAAGTTATCTAACAATATCATTAATACCACACCCAAGTAAAATTTTGCTGATCGTTCAGAAGTAATTGTAGCAATACATTGACAGGGAACTGCCAGAAATTCAAGCCGGGTTCAGAAGAGGACATGGAACAAGGGATATCATTGCTAATGTTAGATGCATTTCGGCTGAAAGCAGAGAATACCAGAAAGATGTTTGCCTATGTTTTATTGACTGTGCAAAGGCATTGGACTGAGCGGATCATAACAAATTATGGATAACATTGTGAAGAATGGTAATTCCAGAACACTTAATTGTGCTCATGAGGAACCTATACATAGATCAAGAGGCAGTTGTTTGGACAGAACAAGGGGATACTGCATGGTTTAAAATGAGAAAAGATGTGTATCAGGGCTGTATACTTTCACCATACTTAATCTGTATGCTGAGCACATAATCCAAGAAGCAGGATTATATGAAGTAGAAAGCGGCATCAAAATTGGAGGAAGACTCATTAACAACCTGCAATATGCCGATGACACGACCTTGCTTGCCGAAAGTGAGGAGTACTTGAAGCACTTATTGATAAGACCACAGCCTTCAGTACGGATTGTACCTCAACATAAAAAAAAAAATCATCACAACTGGACCAATAAGCAAAGCTGTTAGCATTGAGTCGATTCCGACTCATAGCGACCTTATAGGACGCAGTAGAATTGCCCCATAGGGTTTCCAAGGAGCAGCAGGTAGATTCAAACTGTAGACCTTTTGGTTAGAAGCCGTAGCTCTTAACCACTGTGCCACTGGGGCTCCAGACCAGTAAGCAACATCGTGATAAATGGAGAAAATATTGAAATTGTCAAGGATTTCATTTTACTTGGATCCACAATCAATGCCTATGGAAGCATTCGTCAGGAAATGAAATGATATATTGCACTGGGCAAATCTGCTGCAAAAGACATCTTTAAAGGGTTGAAAACTAAAGACATCACTTTGAGGATGAAGGTGTGCCTGACCCAAGCCATGGTATTTTCAGTCATCTCATATGTATGCAAAAGCTGGTCAGTTAATAAGGAGGACTGAAGAAGAACTGAAACCTTTGAATTGTGGTGTTGGTGAAGAATATTGAATATACCATGGGTTTTGAAAAGAACGAACAAATCTGTCTTGGAAGAAGTACACCCAGAATGCTCCTTAGAAGCAACAATGGCGAGACTTTGTCTTACGTACTTTGGACATGTTAAATCAGGAGGGGCCAGTCCCTGGAGAAGGACATCAAGCTTGATAAAGTAGAGGGTCAGTGAAAAAGAGGAAGACCCTCAACGAGATGGATTGACACAGTGCCTGCAACAGTGGGCTCAAGCATAACAACGATTGCGAGTATGGCGAAGGACAGGGCAGTATTTTGTTCTGTTTTACATAGGGTCACTATGAGTTGGTCATGACTTAATGGCACCCACCCACACGCATTGCTATTGATTTGATTCTGACTCATAGAGACCCTATAGGACAGAGTAGAACTGCCCCATAGGGATTCCAAGGAGTGGCTGGTGGATTTGAACTGCCAACCTTTTGGTTAGCAGCAGTAACTCTTTAACCACTGCACCACCAGGGCTCCAAATCGACACCTAACATACCTCAAAGTATACTCCTGTTCAGGATGTACTGAACTGCAGTGAGTTATTTTTAGATTACTTTTTTTTTAAATTACTGACATTTTTACTATTCTGTTTTTCATAGGTTCCACCAGAAGAAATTAATTATCTAACACGAATTCACTACAAGGCTAAGTCTGATGATGTTTGGGGTGAACATGAAATTGATTACATTTTGTTTGTGAGGAAGAATGTAACTTTGAATCCAGATCCTAATGAGATTAAAAGCTATTGTTACGTGTCAAAGGAAGAACTAGAAAATATTCTGAAAAAAGCAGCCAGTGGTGAAATTAAGATAACTCCGTGGTTTAAAATTATTGCAGAGACTTTTCTTTTCAAATGGTGGGATAACTTAAATCATTTGAATCAGTTTGTCGAACATGAGAAGATACACAGAATGTGAAAGTGGGGATGAATGATTAGTAAAGGCCTGAAAAATTTCTCTGTAGTGAATTTAGAATGATGGTTGTGTATTTTGCTTTTAAATTTGCTTCTTTATTAGGAGGACTCAGATTTGATACATTGATGCTTTTACGACTAGAATATGTGTGAAAAGGACTTAATTTTGTATCACATACTCATACATATGCACTGCTGTTTGTAAGAGAAGACATGAGAGAGTTAAAAAAAGAGAGAATAAATAAAAATTTAACCTGTCCAAAAACATGTCTATGACATATTTGAACTAGTAAGCAAAGCTCTTCATTTTTTATATTGTTGTGATAAATGTTTTCAGAATATTTGTTGAGCACTTTGCTATTTGCTGGTCGCTTTATGTATCACTGCATTCTTATCGTGGTCCAGAAAAATGTGCAAAGGAAACTACTTGTTTAGCTACTTTAAAACAGTCCTGATTAACTTTCAGTATTAACAGATTAAACTAGTCAAGCAGGTTAAAGGGAAATTAAATGTTACATACCCTAATTTCTATCATTCTAGGTTGATTTTGTGGTTTAATCATTCTGAAATTATCTTTTTGATATTTAAAGTCAACCATTGATTTTGTTCGTAAGCAGGAATGGATACTGATTAGATTAAATCTTCTTTTAAATAAACCAGAACAAAAACCTGTTGCCGTCAAGTCAATTCTGACTCACAGTGACCCTGTAGGACAGAGTAGAACTTCCTGTAGAGTTTTAAAAGCTGTCGTCTTTACAGAGGCAGACTGGCAAATCTTTCTTCCATGGAGCAGTTGGTAGATACGAACCACCAACCTTTCAGTTAGCAGTCAAGCACTTAACCACTGCGCCACTAGACTTATTAAATAGTCTGCCAATGAGCAAAGTATGTGTTTTCAGAATTACAGTCAAGAAAGGCTATTCATAAAGTGGTAATTAGGTCGTACTCTGCAACAGAGTTTCTTAATGTTGACACCAGTTACATTTGGGGCCAGATAATTCTTTGTTTTGGAACCCATCCCATGAACTGTAGAATGTTTAGTAGCACCCTTGGGTTCTACCTACTAGATGCCAGTAGCACGCCTCCCATTTGTGACAAACAAAAATGACACCAGACATTGCCAGATGTCCACAGGGGGTGGGAAGGAGGCAGAGTTGTACAAAGTCAGGCATATTGTAAGGGGGAGTGGGGGGAGAAGAACAGAAAAGGCTAACATTCAAGTTAAATAGAGTCAAGTTATGGAATAGATACGTATTATTTAAGTTTGTATCTTGACTTACGCAGTTTTTTAAACTATTGGCCATAGGTTTCTTAGATTTGAAATCTTAGGACATCTTTATTATCCTTAAATGCTATGTAATAATAAATAATGAAGAAAAAAATTTGTTTCTTACAAAGTTAAGCAGTTTATAAATTCAGTATAAAAAATCACTTCTTGTTAATCCTGAACAGTTAACTTAAAATTTTAAGCAAGACTATTTTATGTAGCAAATATTTTATTGAAAAATAAAAATAATAAAAATGTAGCACATTTTTATGCTATTGTCTAGATTGTTAAATTTTTAATAGAATAATCTTCCTGTAATAGCTTAAGCAAGATAAATGCTAGATAGTTTGAAATGAATTTATAATATTATTTCTAGTTCTTTAGTTTCGCTTTCTAGGAAGTTTGAGGCTGAAAGCCGCACATAATTAGCTGCTCAGTAGCCACATGTGGCTAGTGTGTACTGTATTAGAGAGTGAAGCCTTAGACCATTACCTGGTACTTTGTAAGTGTTACAGCAAGTTGGGTCTGTTGTAATGTCCCCCACTTCATTTCTTATTTGTGTTATTTGCATGCTTTCTTGTTTTTCTTCTGTCAGTTTGGCCAGTGGTTGTCGATTTCATTTACCTGTCAACCAACTTTTGCTTTTGTTGATTCTTTTATTTTCTGTTCTCTATTTCATTTATTTCTACTTTGATCTTTATTATTTCCTTTCTTCTGATGGCTGTGGGCTTCTTTTGCTGTTACCTTTCTGTTTGTTTGAGTTGTATAGCTAATACTTTGACTTTGTCCTTTCTTTTTTGATGTGTGCATCTATTGCTATAAATTGACCTCTAAGCACTTCCTTTGCTGTGCCTCAGAGGTTTTGGTATGATATGTTTTCATTCTCATTTGACTCTTGGAATTTTTTTATTGTACTTTAGATGAAGGTTTACAGAACAAATAGTTTCTCATTAAACAGTACACATATTGTTCTATGACAATGATTAACAACTCCATGACTGTCCCTTCTAAAGCTTGGGTTCCCTACTACCAGCTTTCCTGTCCTCTCCTGCCTTCTAGACCTTGTCCCTGGACTGTGGTGCCCCATTAGTCTCTTTTTGTTTTATGGTGCTGTCTCATCTTTGGCTGAATAGTGAACCTCGGGAGAGACTTCATTACTGAGCTAAAAGGGTGTCTGGGGGCCATGCTCTTGGGGTTTCTCCAGTCTCTGTCAGGCCAGTAAATCTTGTTTTTTTTTTCTTCTTGTGAGTTAGAATTTTGTTCTACATTTTTCTCCATCTGTGTCCAGGACCCTCTGTTGTGATCCCAGTCAGAGCAGTCAACAGTGGTAGCCAGGCACCATCTAGCTGTACTGGACTCAGTCTGGTGAAGGCTGTGGTAGTTGTGGTCCATTAGTGCTTTTGGACTAATATTTTCTTTGTATCTTGTTTTCTTCATTCTCCATTGCTCCTGAAGGGTTGACACCAGTGAAGTATCTTAGATGGCTACTCAAAGGCTTTTAAGACCTCAGACACTACTCACCAAGTTAGAATGTAGAACATTTTCTTTATAAACTGTGTTATGCCAATTGAGCTAGATGTTCCCCGAGACCATGGTCCCCACAGCCCTCCACCCAGCAATTCAGTCCTTCAGGGCGTTTGGATGTGTCTGTGGAACTTCATGACATTTCTTTGTACATCTGCTGGCTTCCCCAGTAATGTGTACTGTCTTACCCTTCACTAAAGTTACCACTTATCTACTGTCTATTTAGTATTCCCCCCCACCCCTCCAATCCCTCATAACCAACAAAGATTGTTTCTTTTTGTGTGTGAATATTTTCATGAGTTTTTACAGTAGAAGTCTTATACAGTATTTGTCCTTTTGTGATTGACTTATTTCACTCAGCATAATGTCCTCCAGTTTCATCCATGCTGTGAGATGCTTCACAGATATATCATGGTTCTTCATCTTTGGATAATACTCCATTGTGTGTTTGTACCATAGTTTGTTTATCCATTCATCTGTTGATGGGCATCTAGGTTGTTTCCATCTTTTTGCTATTGT